TTGGTTTTCTACACACTTCTTATCTTACATAACTGAGAAGTACCTGGCTGTGCAGCTGCTGGAGTCAGAGGTCACATTCACAATGGCACCCTCATCTCCTGCACTTACGGCTGCTACTCCCCTCAAATCACTGTCCACACTGAGCTCGAGTCAGTCCCATGAATTTTAAACAGCATCACACCTGCTCTGCTACTCTCCAACCACAAGCAATGACTTGATGAACATCAAACGCTATGAACATTTCCACTGATTTTTCAGAAACGGTACATTACCACTTTAATATTTATGACTTTATTTTAAATTTAAGACTGCAATTGAGAAGTGTTATGAATAGCTGTTTTATTAAACATACAATGAAGAGGCAAATGTAATATTTTGGGGGTAGTAAAATTGACTCCTGACTCTAACTTCTCTAAGATAATTTAATGTGGGATCAGATAGATTTAATCTTCTGAAGAGTAGTGGGGTAAACGGTTGCTTTGCAGTTGTATTTTATCATGCAAAAATAACCTCTACTTAATTTCTGTGGTGACCGTATCCAAGTGTATATTAAAACCTTTTATACGTTTCCATGCAACTAAGCATGCCCAGAGAACACTGACACCTGTGATATTTCATAGGTCCACAAATTGGCACTGTACATAATCACTATCCTCTTATCTCCCCCACCTGTCATCTTTGGTAGAGGTTTGAAGGCCCAGCTTTTAGAGCACACCATGCACCTAATATTAGGAATCCTACCTCATGTGTGAATAGATCATCAATTTACAGAACAACACAAGTGGTCTCACAGAGACAAAGAAATAAAACTGGAGGCATTTTATTCACTGGGAGCATTTTCTCAGATGAACACTCATCTTTTATATGCAACCCCAGTAAGAAAAATCTATAGTCAGAAATGCCAAGACAGGACCAAAGGGATCACAGCTGCTGTAAATATAGAGAGTAACACCTCCTGTTCACAAAAAATTCCACTCCACTTAAGTAAAGCCTTCCCCTAGCTAATGCCCTCTTTCTGCCTCACAGAGACATGAAATGAGACATACTGGTGAAAAAAAATTGTTCCAAAATTAAAATTCAGTATCAGGTATTAAAATGGCAACTAGGAACATATTCCCTATTTAAAGGACAGTTTCTTATCTATTCTGAAATGTGATCAAAGTAATTTTTCCATAGCCCCTTGATTCTTAGTATAAATACTTTACTACTCAGTAATAATACTCAATGATGGACCAACAAAGTAAAGGATTAATAAGCTTAAGAGCCTGCTGGTGTCTCAGTTTCACATACTTAGGTTTGTATCACTAACTTATCAGTTTAACTGAAAATTGGCAGATGATTTTAAAGCTAAGAATATCCAGCTCTCTGTTAAGATCTTCGTATCCTAAATTCAACTCCAAATTAACCCATTTTACCCAAACACAAGCCCCTCAAAATAGAGGCTCATGAATGAGATTCAGCTACAACCTAATTATAGCAGCACAAACAATGCCACTATGATGTCCTCACAGAACTTAAATAAATTCAGCCCACAATGGGTATGGGTATATAATATACACATACTATATCATTGCATACCAATATATTTACAAATATGTACATATGTACAAAAAGTATACATAGAGATTGCATTTAGCATCATAAAAATATACACATGCCATTACAAATAAGAACTTCAAATAAATAAAGTCAACAAAAGAGCCCTCAATGTAAATACTCTTTACACTCTCCAAACACACACATAGGAACATAGACACCCAAAACGTTACCAGGAGATCCATACCATTCATATTAAGCTCAAATCTTTTTACTCACTTTGGGTGGGGAGGTGGTTCTGAATCACTGGCAGTAGCCAAGTTTGCAGCCCTTCATACCTCACTATATTTCCAGTCAAGAATGTTCTCTGTATAATCAGGCTGATTACAAGTCTCCATGGATAACTAAGTACAAGATTTTTCAATGGAGTCCAAACCCCTTCTGAGAGAGAGAAAGTTACTAAGTCACACAGGTCAGAGATTAAACTTGAAGAAGAATGCTACAGAAAGCTCCATAACGGATACATTAAAAAGCAGATCAATTGATTTTCCCTTTATCTCAATGAAATTCAGTTCTGTCACCACCTAATCTGTTTCAGGGAATTCTACTGCAAGAACAAAATCAAGGGCAGAAGCCACAAGTGAGGAAAAATAAAACCCAGATCCTACATCAGGAAAATGTCAGTCATGACTGGATTGTACTTTGCTTTTATAATCTCAAAACATTTCAACTTGATAAAGATATAAAGGGCACAATAAATTCTATGTGCTTTGAGAGGTTTTGAGAGCACCACTTCCTAAGAGGAGCGCACACGCGAGCGCGTGCGCACGCACGCACGCACACACACACACACACACACACACTCTACAGCCTGGCCAAAATCAAAGATTAAATGTCTAACTTGTGGATTTTTTATAATTAATAAATAAAAATTTGCTAGGGCTGACTGCTTTAGTGGTTCTAATATTTGATATTAAAAAATACCATAACCTTTGTGCCAAAATATAAATCTCTAATGATTTCTTTCTTGTTCATTATAGAAAACCACCTGAGCTACTGGAAAGACTAGGCTGAGATTAGGAGATCTGAGTCCTAACACTATCACTGTGAAGAGACTGACAGGTGTTTGCTGTTGTTTTTTGGGGGGGAGGGGGGTTAGATTTCTCTTCTGTAAAACAGGGAAGACAGGTGCTTTACCAACTTCAGAAATGTACAGGTAGAGAGAGAAAATAACTCTATTGTGCTTCATTTTGTCTGGTGGATGCCTGACTTCTTGCAGGTCTTATACTTTGCATTCTGTTCACTGTGACTCTTGAGAGGTGAGAGACTGTATCAGAATCTCCAGGGGGAGTTTGTGCAATTTGAAAACAAAAAAGTGCCCTTTCCTATTGCTTTGTTCTTAGTTCCAATATTTAAATTTTAATGAATTCTAAAAATAAATAAAGGGCTCGATATTTTTATATTTATAAAGGGGAGCCATTTGCACTGAGAAAATGAGCTTCTCTGCCATGGCCAGCTCGAACCCACCGGGTGACTGTTCTTTTACGTTTCTTCTTCCTTGATTAAAGGAACACCTTAAAATGTAGAAGCTGGATAGTGGGTATGAGAGGGTTCATTAAACTGTTTATGATTAAAACTTTCACAATAAAAAGTAAAAAGAGAGAAAAGACAAAGATACGAAGTGTTTGCACGAATGCAATCTTCTCAATAAGGCCTACCCTGGTCACTCATTTCAACATTGCTCTTGGCCCCAAAACAAACGGAAAATGGCTCTCGCCATGCTCTCACTCTTCTTAATATTACTTATACCTTTCTAACATAAACTTACTTAATTATTATATTTATTTCCTGACTCTTCTTACTAGAGAAAGCTTCATGAAGACCAGAATTTTTAAGTCTACTTTGTTTGCTTCCTCAATGCCTGGAACAAAATCTAGAGTAGAGTTGTTGTTCAAAACATTTCTTTTTGAAGGCAGGAATGAAACAATAGCTTAGAATTTTCTAGCAGTTTTCCTCTCAAGATCACTTCGGTTCACTTAAGATTTTTTACTAAGCAGTAAGGAATTACACTGCTATTAGCTTAAGAAGCAATGCCATGATCTAAACCCTAGTTGTGATTTCTAAGACTCCTTGTTCTTAGACACACATTTCTAACCACAAAAGCTCTAATATTTCAGATTCTCTCTCTGAACTAGTTTCTACAACAATTAAGTAGGACCCAGATATTTTTTTGAATAAAAACTAGTTAAATATGATCTAGAAAAGAAAATGTGTACACTAAAATCAGGAAAGCTAGTTATCCAGGTAGCAGGGGTGGAGACATCAGTACCTTTTGGAAGCAAGAGTTCAAATTATAGAACCACTGAGTTGGACAGGACCTTGGGCCAAAGCCTTCATTTTACAGATGAGAATGTTAAAAAGCAGAGACATGAAGACACCTGCCAAGGGCATAAAGCTAGTTACCAGGAAAGCTAGGATTAGAACTCAGGCCTCCTAGTTCTCAGACCAGTGTTCTTCATGCTAAACAGGTGAGGACAAAGCTCAGGATGTAAAATATCATTTTAAGGATCAGAAAACAGGAAAATATGCGTCACTGGGAATGTTACTGGCAAAGAACTGCGGGAGAACTGAAACAAGAGGTCACACAACTAGGAGTCTAGGTGAACACCAAGGTAATAGGAAAGTTATGAAGTTGCTTAAGGGGCCAAAAAAATGGACAGCATCTTTATCTGATAATGAAAAACAACTCACTAACAAAGGTAATCTCCATCCAGAATAACTTTTCCAAAGCTTTCTGAAATCATGTTTAAAAGAACAAACAAAAATAATTTAAAAACCTATTAAACACCACAAAGTCCCCCAAAACCAAGAACAAATAACTTTAAGACTTCAGATGAAAAATCAGCAAATTGGAACAGGTATATGAATAACTCAGACCCAAATAATTCCCTATGACAGAAATGAAAACCAAGTTAAAAATATTACAGTTAAAAAAAACTTCCCTAGGGACATAGGAAAGAGGCACCAAAAGCAATCACCTCATTTCCCCTGGGACTGCCAGAGGTAGACTGTGAGCCTGTACAGAAAATTAAGTAAAAGGGCTTTTGATTCATAACTTTCTGAACTTGAACTCTATGGAGTCAAAGGGGGGGGGCATCATAGCTAGTTATAGTTAGTACCTGTGAAATTATGAAGGGGATGACAGGGCAAAAAACACAAAAATCTTTATATTATACACTGAGCCCTACTTAAAGTAATAAAAACCGTGTGCACGAATATAAAATATTAAATACAAGAAGTTTTAAAAACATCTCATTATTGCCAAATTGTCAATGCAAAAGCAACTTCCACAACAATTCAGTTACCCCCAAGTAAAATGAACAACATCTATGACTCTGAAGTCTCATAAACTTGAACTCTGCAAAAAGATTACAAACTCTGCACTGTACACCACGGACTTCAATCCAGACGGTCTTTACACCTCATCTCATGAATGAAGAGTTTAAATAGAATTCCTACTGGAGATACTGTGTTATAAAACCGACAATCTGATTCTTAAGTGAAATATTTAAAAGTTGTTCTTTTTCATTTCCAGCACTACAAAGAAAACAAAATATGCAAATATATCTCATAACAACACAGGACTCACACATTCCAGGTGATATTTATCATTCTCAAGACCCCAATTAAAGCTTTAGCTTTCAGACGCAAATCTTATACAATTTCTGAAATTCTGACAGTATTTAAGCAAATTAAACAATTTCAAGAACTGTCCTGATTATACTCTTCAGAGAATCACACATTTTCTACCGACTAACTTGGAATGAAAAGAAATATCATGGCAGGACTCTGTTCTTGATTTTTAGTAGTCCATGCTGGCTAGTTTCATCTCTGTGAACAATTACATATTTTTCAAATCCACACATGTAAGGTCCAAGTTTAAGAGTTGGGTTTTCCTCATCATACAAAAATAAATAATTTACTCTTCGCAGGGTGAGAACAGTGACTATCTGAGTGTAGGATGAGAAGCTGGAGGCAGGTCTCCATACCTCAAAACCAAAACAATTAAAATCCCAAGATTAAGCGAGTTTTTTAAAAGACCTGAAAGATTGTATTTTAAAACAGTCACCCTAAAAGTTTGAACAATGTTTTCGATTTGTTTTTAAAATGGTGGTCCTAAAATAAAAAATAAAAACGAAGTAACACCACTATGTGTCTGTCATCACATTAGAAAACGGCACCATTTAAAATCTGTGGCAAATGAAAAAGTGTTTCGACAAGAGGGTTTTTGTTTTAATAGTCATCTATGGTATTTTCAAAGAACACGTTTCGAACATCCAGAATGGATGCCAATTCCAAAATGTGCTTCTGGAGATGAGGGTTCTCCACCGTTTCATCCCGTGGCAGTTGTGGATATGATTCTGGGTAGTTTCGTGTTTCCTAACAGGCAAAGAAGAGAAAAGTCAAGTTTTACAGCTTAATGAAAGAAAAATTATAAACATTAACATTACTGTTAACATTAATAAAATCAAGGAGTAACATAATTATGTATTTTTTCTTTCATATTGGTATGATTCTTATACTTTTTAAACATATAAAATTGCTGGGATTTGACCACTTTGACCTTAAAAAAAATAACAATTTCATATGGTTCAACCTAATCTATTAATTTAGTGAGTTGATTCTCAAATATTTACTAGGGCCAATCATTTCTGGGCACTATGCTATACTGTGGAAACCATATAATTTCTACTTGTTAGGGGAGAAATCCTTGCATATTTCACCAAGTATTTATTAAATGAATGAATAAACAGAGTTGTAGCAGAAATCAAAATAAGAGAAAAAACATGAAGGAGCACAGAAAAGTCAAATTAATAGGCCAAAATCCAGAATTCAACATCATAAAATTCACAATGCCCACAGTTTAAGGAAATGAATAGGCATACAAATCAGGAATATGAGACCCATAACTAGTAGGAAAAAAAATAAAAGCAAACCTATAATGATAGAGAATATAGTATTAGCAGATAAGGACTTTACCTATTACATATACATTCAAGAGCACAATGCAAACATAAATATAATGAGAGAAATGAAAAATATTTTAAAAACCAAAAAGAACTTTTACAGATGAGAAAAATATAATCCCTGAAATGAACCACTAGATGGATAGGCTAACAACATATTAGACATTGCAAAAGGGAACAACAGTGAACTCAAAGACTCAATAATAGAAACTGAAAACAACAAGAGAAAAGACTTTCAAAAAAAATGAACAGTGCATCAGTAACCTATAGGACAATATTAGGTTGTCTAATATATGTGTAATCGATGTCGCAGAAAAAGAGAAAGAGGGAAGACAAAGTACAGGGGTGCGCAAAGTAGTTCTACAGTTGTGAGTACATGAAACACAGTTTATTCTTGTATTATTATTTATTAATTATTGCATTTTTTATTTGCATTATGTAAACTTACTTTTGCACACCCCTGTATTTGAAGAAATAATGGCCAAAATTTTCCAAAGTATTTAAAAACTTTAACCCAAGATCCAAGATGCTTGATAAACCCCAAGCAGGAAACACACAACAAAGAAAACCATATCAAGGTACCTCATAACCAAATGATCAGAAACCAATATAAATAAATATCATAATCATTCATGAAAACAGATGCAAAAATCCATAATGAAATATTAGCAAACTGAATCCAGCAATGCAAAAGAATTAATGCATGATCACAAAATACGTTTACCCCAGATACACAAGGTTGACTATAAGAAAATCAATCAATTCTATTCATCATATTAGAATTTATATATCAGATTAACGAATGCAGAAAAAAGTATTTTACAATCTTTTATACCCATTCTGGATAAAACTCTCAGCAGATAAGAAATAGAAGTGAGCTCAGTCAACCTGGAAAAGGGCATCTATGAAAAACCAACCATTAACATTACAATTTGTGGTAAAAGATTAAATGCATAAAAAAATGAGATAAATTGATGAATGAAAAAGGGATGGATAAATGAAAAGATACATGAGAAAGCAAATATACCAAAATGTTAACTACAGAATCTAGCCAGTATATAGTCACTGTATAATTCTTTAACATTTTAAAATTATATTTATAAAATGGAAAAAAATAGATATTTAAAAATTACATTTTAAAAGGTGCAAACCCTTCTCAAAATGTTCAGGTATATTTGAAAAGGAACCAAATGTTACTTATAGAAGTGAAACACAGCCCGGCCAGGCGTGGCTCAGTGGCTGAGCATCGACCTAGGATCCAGGAGATCGGGGTTCGATTCCCGGTCAGGTCACATGCCTGGGTTGCGGGCTCGATCCCCAGTTGGGGGCATGCAAGAGGCAGCCGATCAGTGACTCTCTCATCATTAATGTTTCTCTCTCTCTCCCTCTCCCTTCCTCTCTCTGAAATCAATAAAGATATATTTTTTAAAAAAAAAGAAAGAAAAATATATTGCCCTGGCCCGTGCAGTTCAGTGGTTAGAGCGTCGGCCCACAGACTGAAGGGTCCCAGGTTCGATTCTGGCCAAGGGCACATACCTTGGTTTGCAGGCTCCATTCTGGGCCCTGGCTGGGGCGTGTGCAGGGGGCAACCAATCGATGTGCCCCTTTCACATCGATGTTTCTCTCTCTCTTTACCCCCTTCCACTCTCTCTGAAAAATATCCTTGGGTGAGGATTAAAAATATATATAAATATATATATATAATAGCTAAAAATTTTAAAACCTCAGCTAACAATGTTATGTAATTACCTGAATACACAGAAAAAAACAAACTACTTAGAACCCAGTAGACGAAAGGCTTGAACACACTCTTCCCCACAAAGAACATAGAATAACACATGAAAAGTAGCTCAATCTCAATAGTAATCCCAGAAATGCAAATTAAAACCACAATGAGCTACTACTTTACACCCACCTGATTGATTCACATGGGCTATAAAGTATGACCACAACAAATGTTGGTAAGGGTTAGAGCAATACCAACTCTTATACACTGCTAGCACCGGTGTAAATCGAGACAACCACTTTGCAAAATGTTTGGCAGTACCTAGTAAAGCTGAATATGCCTAAATCATCTGACCTCACGTTCTACAAAAGTCATATATGTGTACCAGGAAAATGACAAACGATTCTGCAGTGACATTGTTTATAATAATAAAAAACGGAAACCACCCAAATGTCCATTATCAGTAGAACAGGTGAGTACTTTGTGCCATATTGCCAAACAATGAAATCCTATATAGCAGTGAAAACAAATGAATAAAAGCTATAGTCAGTCATCACCATGGCTCAATCTCAGGAATATAAGAGAGAGTGAAAAAAAGCAAGTTCTAGAATACATAAGATATGGATCCATCAATATGTTGTGTAGAAACGCAAATGAGTGTGGCAAACTTTAAAGAAAAGTGAATGATAATTATAAAAATCAGGATTTTAGTTTCATTTAAGAGGAAGACAAGATTAGGGAAAACCTACAAGGGACCTCAAAAGTAATGAAAATGTTCTACTACTTAAATTGGGTGATGGGTACTCAGATGTGCCTTCTTTTGTCCATCTTTAGTACTTTACATAATAATATGTGAGTATGATTTTGGACTTAATACAGGGAAAATATAACACATGATGGTTAAATACCTAAAATGGCAAAATTGGTCATTAAAATAGTCTTTGCCTACCCGAAAAATCTTGTGCATCCTCATGGTGGCTGAACAAAAGACAAATCTTGTGAGAAGCAGGCGAAGAAATTCATCTCCAAAAAACTGGAGGAATGCCTGATCTGCAAAGAGGAGAAATGTGACGGTAAAAAGTTGCTTAAAGGGAGAATACATTTCCAAGGGGAAGAAAAGTTCAGGAAAACCTTCTCAACTTTTCTGCCTTCAACAAATACCTCTAAAAATTTAGACAATTTTAAACCACTATAGTACATTCTGTTAAGTGTGCAGTTAGATTAGTAGGGTACCTATTGAACGTGAATGGGTCAGTAGCTGGGCAATATCGCGGTTGATTTTTCGAAGATATTCTTGACACTTTTCCCACAGGCCTCTACGCATGCTTGACAATCCAGAGACAAATAGGAAGGCCATTAGAGGATTGTTCAAAAAGAGAGTGAAGAGGCTACCTCGTTGAGATTGATCTGTAATAACAAACATGTTATATATATTGTTTTATATAGATATATAAAACAATTTTGCAAAAGATAAGAGATGCATTTGAGGAACATTTTAATATACTAATAATATATAATATTAAAGCTATATTATTAAATCATAATTCAACAAAATAGATTCTGCAAGGAACTACAAGAACATATACTAGGTACATTGCTTTCTGCTGAACTAACTTTAGAGCCTAGTAAACTAAAGAGAAATAGAACATGAACATATTCCTCTGCCTTTTCCCCTCCAACTAACAAATTTTATCCAAAGATAGCAAGGTATAGATCACAGGTAGTTCATGGTAGAATTCTCTGATGAGTTCTAGTATTGCCAGTCTTTTTCCCTCTTTTGTGAGTTGCTCTTTCTCCACCTATCCCTTAAATATCAATCTTTTCTTTCTTTGGCCTGATACATTGCTGGTCTCATCTACTCCTATAATCTCAGTTATCATTTATATGCTTACCAAGTCCCAGTTCTCTATCTGCAGCCTAGATTGAGCTCCTTAGGTCTAGAACTGTGCTGCCTTGCAGTAGCTACTGGACTTAAAAAGAACTTAAAATGTGATTGGTCCAAACTGAGACACACTACGGAATGTAAAATATACATGGGATTTCAAAGCACCAGTACAAAAAGAGATATTGTTAACATTAATTTCACCAGTTTCTTTCTACTTTTTAAAAAATGTGGCTACTAGAAAACTTAAAACTACATAGGTGACTCTCATAATATTTCTATTGGACAGAGTCACTCTAGACTGCTATATTCAACCTAACTCTCAAAGGTAACTTTAAACTCAACATGTCAAGAACTGAAAACAAAATTTTTCCCCCTTTTGTTCTCTTATAATCTAGTTCTTATTCAGGATCACCATTTCACCCAGCACCTCAGCCAGGAGCCTGGAAGTCCATTCCTGCCTCCTGCCTCTCCCTTATTACCTCACCATGACCAAGTCCACCACCAAGTCCTGTTGGTCCCCTGGGCTAGTATCTTGTGAAGCCAGCGAACCCATGTCCTGGCTCAGCCACCACGGTCTCTTTATTTCCATCAATGCTCCTGTCCAATTCATTTTACGTGAGGTTAACTGGATGCTCTTTCACGGTGCTGCTGTTTAAAGCCTTCTGACAGTGCCTTATTGTCCTCCATTTAAATCATGAAAGGTTGTTCATAATTCAGTCCCACGATCTCCAACTCTGCCCTTTAACTAGCAGGAACTACTTTTAATTTCTCTAAATGTTCCATAACTCTCTCCTCTCAGAGCTCTTATCTCAGGGCTCACATGCTATTTCTCTGCTAGAATACTCATTTTCAACCATTTCCCAGGCCCATCTAATTCTACGGATCCTTCAGCTCCACTTTAGACATCATTCCCTGCCCTTCATCATTCTCAAAGGCAGGTCAGGAGCTCAAAAGTGGCACAGGCTTCCTCCTGTGAGACACCTACAGCAGCAACCGTAACTGGCAGGTCATCTGTATCTTCTACTAGACAGCTGGCTCTATGGGAAACATGACTATGCCTGTCGGGTCAGAGTGTCACCTCCAATGCCTAGCACTGTACCTGACAAGTAAATGCTGAATAAATGTTTGTTGAATGAGTAAAGTAACTCTTCGGTAAAAAGAAAACAGATACCAGAGGCACAGGAACCTGATTTGACATTCCAAATACTTAGGTATCTGCTAGTTTTGTGCCCAGAGGGGGCATATTTAGGAACTAGAGGTCTAAGCTTTATAGCACAAAAGATAGAACACTGGACTAAAAAATATTAAGGGCATATAGTACAACTAAGCATATTAGTAATAACGACAGTTGACACATACTGAATACTCAGAATTATTTTATGAGGCTGGTACTATTATTATCTCCACTTGATAGGAACTAAACTGAGGCACAGAATAAAGAGCCTTCCAAGGTCACACATCTGGTAAGCAGCTGAATTGGGGTTCAAATTCAATCAGTTTGCCTCCAGAGCCTGTGTTTTTATCCTATGCATAAACAAAGCCATTCAGACCAAATAATCTTGCTATTAACCCATCAGACCATGCAATTTTAACTAAAGCTGCCTCTTGATAGGACAAACTGATAGCAGAAAGTATTCTCAAGTAATTGGAAGGGGTTACATATCTCCAGAAATGATAAGCAACAGGCTAACAGAGTCCTTAGAGCAGGAGAATTTTACCGTTGTTTGAAGGTAAGTTCTATCCCTTAGTAATTAGACTTTCGGATATAGGAACTTAGTATTTCTACATGTTTTTCCCTGTTAAATAGCAGAACTTACCTTAAAACAACGGTGAAAAGTCTCCAGCTTCTCAGGCATTCAAATGCTGACCATCACTTCCTGTGTCAAACTATGTCAGCAGACAGGACTTCTGGCTGGGAAGTAGCAGTAAAATGCCCTCTCCCACAGGGAGACATCAGCACTATTCACAGTCAGGGAGACAGTGACATGGTGACAAGCACTGCTAAAACAGCGGCAAGGTTCGTTTAGTAGCTTCCCTAGCTTAATGACTGGACGCTAGAACCAGACTGCATGTGCTGCCAATTAGGGACAGATTATTATAAGTTTTTCATCTGAGAAATGGCCAGAACACTGACCTGTCTCTCTGGCACACTGAGAAGAGGTTCTTTTATTTAAAAAATGTAACAAGGCAAAATGTGAACCAAAAAAGCCCTTTACATTGTGCCACTTAGGGTATCCTAACTCTTAGGCAGAGGCTGACAAGTTTTCTTGACCAGAAACCTTAGTCTTAAAAGATGCCTGAAATATGCAGCCAGCGATACCGGAAATCATGCCAGGTGGAAGAGACAGATTTCCTGTATCACTGGCTGTATCACCAAAACAAACAGCTGCAAAACAAATTTTAAAATTCACAAATCATGAGTTCCCCAAGAGCAAGGGACCCTTTTCTCTGGAGCGCTTTACCATTTCTCTGAGAATTATCTCAAGGCCTAATGGTAGCACATTAAAGAAGTCTGGTGGTTGGCAAGACTTCTGGGTTGATTTCAGATTGACACCTGCCACATTAAACACCATAAATCCACATGTTATCATTATAGGTAGGGAAACAAAGATCAGTATTATTCAAAATACAGTGTTTATTTGTAACCTATGAAAGTGAGAGGTAATGACAGAACATACCTTGTAAAGCTTTTGGATAAGCTGTAGGAGAAAGTAAGCAGACTAGTGGCTGTCCAAATAAGTTTGTGAAATTCTGTAATATATAAGAATTTAAAACGTTCATTAAAGGTTTGACCAAAGATAGTTAGTAATTTTCCAAAGCACATCATCAGTGTTTAGATTGGGCTCTTTGACTCATTAGCAGCTGCAGAACATCAGTAACAGCTGAAGAGACAGCCATTCATGTATAACTACCATGCACAACAGGCTTTCTTAAAAGAGTCACATTTACTAAGTGAACTGCTGATTTTTAAAATAAAGGCATAGATATGGCTGCAGCATTACAAGGAGAGGTCATCTGGCCATCTACAAAGAGGCCACCCACGGGGCAACATACACTAATGAAGGTGTATTCACAAGCGTGAATTTTCCAAGGTCTAAGGTCTGGCTCTCAGCCTCACAGGCTCTAAAACCTGACCTACTGGTCCGTGAAGAGGAGATCCACCTCTCATGGTAAATCATATTAACTGCTCACACAGAATGATGTACAAAACCAGAATGTTAATGTGTTAATTGACACTGAGAATTAAACTGCCATTCAAAAAATACTCTCTGCATGATTTAAGGACATCCTTTCCCTAAAGCCAGATTTACATTATAAACTGTTTGGTAAAACAAGATAGATAGAACTAAAAGTAAATTTAATAAGAAGTGAAAAAAAAAATTGAAACACTCCTGAATCATAAAAATAAAGACTAGAACAAATAGAAAGACATACTATGTTCTTAGACAAGAACCCATTCTAAAGATGTTATTACACTAATTTATTAAAATTTAAAGCAACCTCAAAAAAATGGCCACAGATTTTTTTCCCTGCGACTGAAAGAAATAATTCTAAAGCTCATAAGGAAAAAGTAGATTAGCCAGGAAAACTGCAAAAGAGCAGAGAGAGAACTAGACTCATCAGATATTAAAAGATACTTTAAAGCCTCAGTAATTAAAAGTATGTGGCCTCGGCATATAAGTAGGCAGAAGACCAATGGAAGAGAATGGAGGTCTAGAATTAGACCCTAAAACAGACAGGACTGAATATATACAATAAAGATAAAATTGGTAGGAAAAATGGATAGTCTTGTCGAAAAAAAGCTGGCTCCATACACCACACACTGGGATAAAGTATGTCAAAGATTTAAACGCAAAAACTTAAACAATAGAAGTGTTGAAAGAAAATATAAGAAAGGGTTATTTTTATACCCTAGAAGATCTTCCTCTTATGATTATGATTAATAAGCCCAGTCACAAAAAGCAAAGGCTTTTCCACAGCAAAATACAGCATAAACTAAGTCAAAAGCCAAATGATATTCTGGGACATATATTTGCAATGCACATTAAAAAGGATTAATCTCCTTAATATAGAAAGAAATTCTCCAAATCCGTAAGAAAAGGTCTGCTGACCCAACAGAAAAATGGGTGAAAGATGCCAAGAGAATTAATCAAAAAGGTAATACAACTGGTTCAAATGTATGAAAGATGCTCAACCTTGGCAATGAAAGAAATAAAATCGAAGCTACACTAAATTACCATGTTTTAATCTATTAGTTTAGGAAAATTTCTAAAAGTTTGAAAACAGGTGCTATGGGCAAAAACAGGGGGCAACACTCACTCATATGTAGGAGTATATATTAGTACAAACTTTTTAGAAGATATTTTGACAGCATCTATTACACTCAAATGCGTATTCCATTAGCACAGCAATTCTACAACTAGGAACTTACCCTATCAAGATACTCTCAAACCTGTAAAATAACACAAGTCCTAAGTTATCCCTTGAAGCATTGTTAATAATAAAAGGACTAGAAGCAACCAAATGACCAGCAATAAGGGACTGGAAGAATAAACTATGGCACAAACGCCCAGTGGAATCCTACGCAGCTCCAGGGAAGAATGAAGTTCTTTATGAATGGGTATGAATAGATCCCCTACACTTCTCAGAAGTTAAAAAAGATACAGAGCAGTTGCGTATGGATGTTACTACCATTTATATAGCAAAGAAGGCTGAATATGAGGTATTTGTTCGGCTTAGGTATGCATTTAAAAATTTCTTCTAGAAGGATAAACAAGAAACAGACAACAGTGATCACCTATAGGGAGAGAGAATAACTGAGTGAATTTGGCCTGGGAGGGATAAAGAGATTTCACAATATGCCTTTTTTATTTTAGTATCAGTACAAAAAATGTAAACAATTAAAACAAATTAGAAATTTCTTGTAATCAAAACAAAGGGAGTGCGCTGAGTGAGATTAAGGAGCCCCTCCAGACCGGGCGGCTTGCAGCACTCTCCCACACTGCAGACATGCCGCCTTGCTCGCTGGCCGTGGTGCGCTCGCTCTTGGACAGTGCTGAAATGAACACTGCTGCTACTCTCGGCCCGAGGTTTCCCTTTGTTTTGCTTCCCTTGCTGATCAACTTCTCTCCTGATTTTTAAAATACTGTGTAAAAAGAGTTAGCGTAACGAGCCTGACTGTTGTCCTTTCAAAGGCCTGCTTACAAGGTTGGCCCTTGGCTGGCTTCTGGGAACTTAGATTTGGGTGAGTTCCCACCATTAGCAGACCCGATAAGAGTGGCTCACTTTACCCAGGCTGTGCAAACACGATGGCTTATGCTGAACACCTGCTTGCTTTCTGGGAGGATGGCCTTTGGCATGTGCCAGGCACAGGGTGCCTACATGATCAGTCCCCAATAGACACCCTGGGTACTGAGTCCCTCATGAACTTCCCTGGTAAACACTGTAGCTGTGTCGTTTCAACCTGGTGCTGGGGGAATTAGGAACATCCTATGTGACGTCACTGAGAGAAAACTCTTAGAAGTCTAAGCCTACTTTTCTCTCAACCTCATCCCATGTGCCTTTTCCTTTGCTGATTTGGCTCTGGATTCTTTATTGTAATAATACCCTGTAGTGAGTATGGCTATAGGTTTAGACCCACGAGTCATGGGGGTGACCTTGGGGCTCTGATTCCCTTCTTTCAGATTATACTTAAATCTTAGGCCTGGGAAATAGTAACTTCAAGGATGCTTCACATCTCTGTTTTAACTCATTCAGTAATTAATTTTATAGTTTAACTCCCATAGGATAATCCTATTTTATTTGCAAATTTTTGGGAATGTCTCATAATTTTGCCACATATATGGATTACATGATTCAATGCTATTATGTTTTAAAAATTATGGCAAATGTATATAAATTGAATATATATTGGAGAAATTTTAACTTGTAGCTCCTACATAAGATTGCTATTGAGTTTTGTACATTCACCCCGTATCTAACTGCTTGCTGAACATGTATTCATATTAATAGCTGGTCAAATGCTTGAAGAACAGTGGGTATCTCTGGAAGAGGCTTCAAGGAGGGGGGACCAGAACACAAAGCTCCTAAAAGGAAGACTGCCAGGTACATGTGAGGAGCAGCAAGGCCAGTGCAACTGAGAACTGATAGGGAGACCGGCAAGAGAGATCAGAGATACTGGAGGGGGGTGGGCGAGGAGGTGTGTGAGGGCAGGTAACAGCACCTTTACTCTGAGTGAGACTAGGAGCTGCTGGAGGTTTCGAGCAGAGAAGTGACAGGATCTGACTTAGAGCCGCACGCTGCAAGGGCTCAAGGGCAGAAGGAGGAAGGTTGGTTAGGAAGCTGCCACAATAATTCCAGGGAGAGCCGATGGAGGTATAGACCAGCGCCAGGACAGTGGAGGTGCTAAGATTCTGGATATAGTAGTTAGAGACAGAGGATTTCCTGAAATGGATGTGGGGTGCTGGGAAGGAGGAGTTAAGGAAAATCCAGGAGAGGAGACGGAGAAAATGAGCTGACTCCAGATCTCTTTTGTCCTGAGGCAATCGAGCAACTTGAATCTAGGGTTTAAAGGCCCTACCCAGAGAAGGGGAAAGAAGTCAGAGCTCAGGTTTTGCTTGAAATGGGAGTCTAAGAGAAAACCGTCCATGTTAAATTACAATCCCAAAGGGCTACACCCTTCATGTAAGGATGAACCAAAACAAACTTCACAGCCTCCTTCCCCAAGATTCCTCCTCAGGGAAAACTGTCTCGGTGCAGAGCAGAGACAAACAAAGCGAAACAATCCCTGAGGGTTTTAACTAGAAGTGAGCCGTCAGCTTGTTTGCAGCTCAAATTCATACCACCAAGTAATCCCCCAAACAGGGTCCTGAAATAGGAGTGCCTCCAGGTGTCCAGCAAAGCAAAGCAGACCCTCTGTGGATAAAAGTACCTTCACTCTAGGATCAGTGAATTTCTCACAAATAATTTTAAGGATGACAAGAAACTAGTCGAAGATAACCAAGCATACAAGGATTCAAAAATAGCAAAGGGTGTCTTTAAGCAGCAAAAGGTTTCAAGTATAAGATTATCAGAAAGATAATAAATAATAAGCATGCATATTAAGTTTAAAGGAATAAAGAACAAACCTGAAAATAGAAAATAGGGAAGTATAAAAAGAACAATGGATTATTTTAAAGAGAACCAAATGGAACTTCTAGAAATGAAAATTACCACAGCCAATATAAAACTCAATAAATGGGTTTAACAGCAAGTTAATCACAGCTGAAGAAAGAATTTGTAAATTGAAAGATAGCCCAGAAGAAATTATCCAAATCTCAACCTGAGGGAGAAAAAAGTCAGAAAACAAAGAAGAAAAGTGAAGAGATGTGGAAGTCAGTGAGAATGCTATGTGTGTGTGTGTGTGTGTATATAATCAAAGTTCCCGAGATGAGAGAGAAGCTGGGGCACAGCCAGTATTTTGAAGAGACAACGGCTGAGAATTTTCCAGCAATAATGAAAAACTCCAACCTATCCATTTAAGTCTAACAAGTCCCAATAGGTTAACTCTAAAGAAATAAAATGAGAACTCACAATGTAACCGTAGAATGCCAAAAATTTTCAAAGGAGCATGAAAGCAATGGAATGCACGAGGCTGGCTGGCAGAAGAGCTCTTTCATAATCTTGCTGTGAGCATGAGGGCCTTCACAGGCCGCAGCAATCTGCAGCCGCCAGCCAAACAGGACAAGGCTGTTCAGATAAACATGACTGTTCTGACAAATGAGTAAGTCGTGTTCACCGGCAGGCATCCAACCTTGTCATCATTACTTCAACACTCAAAAGTTCTTCTTCTTTCAAAGAAAAGAAAGCAGAATTGAAAAGAAGTGTTCAGAATGACAGGGGGATTTTTTGCACTCCCACTAGTACTACATTAGTACAGATGAGGCCACTTCCACTCGCCTAGTCTCTAATGGAATCTGAGAGCCACAATGTGGGCCGTAATTGTTACACGGATCCTGGCGTTCCAATCCCTCTCTCCCACAATGAGGCTCAGACCAGCATGCAAAGCTCCTGTTTTCCTAAGTGGAAAGAGCTGGGGTTTTGGAATGACAAAGACTGCTGGTATTAGTTAGGCAAGTTCCTTAAACTCCACAGGGAAAGCTTCCTCAACTATGAGGAAAATAGTACCTATCTTCATTTAATTATCCAACATGTATTATTTTCAGACTGATAACCTAGGGGTTCAACATATATTTACTAAGAACCTTTTAAGTGTGAGGCCCTGGGGACATTAAGATACATGTGTATACAAATATAAACACACAGAGACTTGAGGGAAAACCCAGCCTAATGCTAATAGTCAGACATTTGTATTCCAGGCAGAGTAGCTGAGTCTGCTCTGGGGAATATGACTAGGCCATGAAGACAGTCCTAAAGCTAACCAACTAACTAGTCCAACTAACTAGACCAGCCAACTAACTAGTCCAGCCAGATTGTCACACTGAACAGTGCAGGGTGACAAACCCTATCCACAACCTCAGAGATTCTGACCATTTTCCCAGCTTCACTCTTAAATCTGAGCAGATACACAAAAATTACAATACTCAGAGGAAAGTCTCAAATATGACAGGTACCAGCAAAAAGAAAAAGAAACACCTTACTGTGAAGGAAACAGAGAGCAGGGAGAACTTTTAAAATGATCACTGATATTCTTACAGGTAAGGGAATATATTTCAACCAGGATAAAAACCAAGAAATTATACATGTGTATGCATATGTGTTTTATATACATCTATTTTTTTATGAAAGAAATATCTAAAGAACAAATCTAAAAATCCCAATAGCAACATTAGAAGATAAAGGCAAGGGAATTTCCTATAGAGCTAAAAGATCATTAGATGGAAAATAAAGGACAAGAAAATCAGAGGACTTGACCAGAAGGTCTAATATATGAATGACAAAAGTTGTCAAAAGATAGAACAGAGAAAATGGGGGTAAGGAAATCAGTGGGACGACTCAAGGTGATGGGCACAGTCCCCAGACTGAAAGGACTCACCCACTACATGTCAAGCACCATGGTTAAAAGCAAGCCCACACAAGGACAGATGGGAAACACTGAGGACAACGAGATGAGCCTATAAGCTTCTAGAGACTGAAAATAGGTCACATAGAAGAACCCAGAATTAGAATGCTTTGTACTACTTAAGAAACACTGGAAGCTAGAAAGCAATGTAGCAACGCCTCCAAGTTCTGAAGGGAAAAGTATTTCTAATCTCTTCCAAAACCACCATTAAAGTGTGACGGTAAATTAAAGACATGTGCAGAAGTACAAGACTTCAAATGTTTTCCCTCGTGTTCATTCTTCCTCAGGAAGCTACTATAGCAGATGCTGCACAAAAATGAGAGTAAATGTCCAAGAGGAAGACACAGGAAAGAGGGATCCAATACACACGGCAGATGAATTCCCAGGGTAATAATGAAAAGAGATTCTGGGATAGGAGCTGTGCAGCATATGCAGAGGGCACCAGTTCAGAGGCTTGGAAGATCATTCATCACAAAGATAAAATAAAGAGACTAATGAATCCGACCAATTTGAAAAGGAGTTAGAAGTTAGACAGTTGAGGAGACTGGGTTTGAATCAGTGATAAATTCAGGAAAAAAAAAAAAAGAACCCAACATGGAAAAAAGATAGGTAATTATTTGCTCCAGAAATCTGCATAGGAAAGAAAAAGTTTACTATGTGGCTTAGCTGTTCAAAGCACTTTATATTCGCAATAATGTAAGCACTAAATATTCAGTGAATCAAAATTATGATATAAGTTTATTGTGTGGATAAAAGGATGTAAAAGGTATAAATGCAAACTGGGGCTATAAAGGGGAAAGGAAACTAAATTTCTCTCCTATAATGGGATATCAATACACAGAGCCTATAAAACACAAGAATCAAGAAATACCAACACTAGCATGTTATTTAGAAAAATGATGGTCAAATGCCAAAATGATCAGCTAAAAAAGATATAAATGGTGTGGCCTTTGCAAAGAGCCAAACAGGGGTCGGGCAAGAGAGCAGGAAACTACTGTTTCAGCTGGTGGAACTTGCTAACTGAGTAGTTCTCACCCTAACAACACACTGGAACTACACCGACACCTGAGCCCCCACCCCTGCCCAGTGAATCAGAATCACAGGGGCTGGGACCCTGGAACAAGTGGCTTTGAAAAGGGCTCTGAATGTTTCTGGTGCACACAGAGAGTTAAGAACTACAGCTTTAAACTACTATATGCATGAGTTACTTTCATAAAGATAAAAATGTAATATTTAAATGAAGAAAATAACATGAAGTGTTTGTGCTAATATATGAAGAAGCGTTTAGGAAATACATATATGTTCATAAAACATTCACATGTATGAGACATATATAGCAAAGTAGGAACTCCAGAAATAATAGTTCAGTCACACAGCTCTCTCCTTTTTTATGAGAAACTTGCAAATGGTAGTTTAAGACTTTTTACAGAGGCTTTGTGGAGAAAGTAAATATCAGACACCTTAGTGTTAACACAGTATGTTAACACAGAGAACTGTATACTTGGTTGAGAGGCATTAAAGAATATTAATTTTTAAAAAGGCCAAACTGGTCTGTGCTGTGCTCTGATTTGCATACTGCACATGGGCTCCCCATTTCATTTCTGAAGACCAGTGTGTTCTGGACAATTTAATTTTTTAGAGGAGTTATACTGCATGTGCCATCAAAAGCAAACAGACCAAAACAAAGCAAAGCAAAAGCAAAAAAAACACCTTTCTATTATTCCACTGTTATCCTAAGGGTTAGAATATAAAAATCTAGAATTAAATCATTTCCAAGTATGCACAGTGATATTTTTTTTAAAAAACCAGCATCCAGCCCTAGCCAGTTTGGCTCAGTGGTTAGAGTGTCAGCCCCGCTTCATGCAGGAGGCAACCAATCGATGTGTCTCTCTTACATCAATGTGCCTCTCTCCCCCTTGCACTCTCTCTGAAAAAGCAATGGAAAAAATATCCTTGGGTAAGGATTAAAAAAAACAAACCAAACCAAAAAAACAACAAAAAAACCCCAGCCAGCATCCAATACTCATTCTACATCCAAGAAGTACTCTGGAAATAGCACGCACATATAATGAAAGATATTTTTGAGATTATAAAAGGTGCTATCAAATAATATGCAATTAAATGGAGAGAAATTACGAGGCTGCTAAAATACTCTCAACGAATGCTGGAGCATATAAGCAACATACTTCCTGTCACATCCTTAAGCGCAGCAAATGATTCCTTCTCATTGACAAAGACAATGCTTCTTTGGAATTCTGGGAAGACACGAATGCCTGGACTCCGCTGGTTTTTTAAGTTTAAATGGGGTAGTTAATAAACTTTTTCCTTCGGCAATCTCTCACTCCCTCAAAAAGATGAACAACACACACCTGACTTAAGAAAATATCAGCTAATTTTCCCCAAAATCAAAGTTGTAAACCTGACAAAATACGTAGCAGAAAACATGCTGGAGAGTTTAGGGTGGGTTGAATGCTCTTGGAATTCAGACGTTAAAAAATGAAACTGAATGTGAAATTTAGATGGAAAGCACATGCTTAGGGTCAGCTCTCCTGGCTGCGGACACTCCACTGCTCCCCTGAAATAAACCGACCGGTTCCTGCTTCTCCACCCAATCACATGAACACCCACAACAGAAACAGTTTTAACTGGCAGTTTAAACATGCAGATCCCAGCATATTTCTGAGCATACTGTTCACTAACAAAATAGTCCAACCACACAAAGCACTCCAGAAATTCTGTTTCCATTTTCCTGTAAATTACTACAGTTTGAACTCCAATACTCTACTTTCAAGTGTTTTGCTGCTGACATTCTTTATATGGTCGTTGAAAAACATTGCTTCAATAGCAAAATATAAAACAAATGACCTTTGAGTTAGATCCCTGTCACTTGTTTCAGCACTTGGGGCCATCTCTTTTTACTTATTGTCACAAATTTTTTAAGTAAGTGCATTTAAGACCATCTATGTTGATATTCAATGACTGTAACTGTAAAACATGAGATAGAAATTTCCCTTAAACCACAGCAGCTCAGTGTGTAGATGGGGGAAAAGTTCTCAAAACTAGAAAATAAAATGTGCCCACGTACTTCTCCCCTCTACAAAAGAAAATCATTCTGGGTTATATAACAAAAGTGAACCTTCCACCAGGGCTCTTGGAAATCTTGCATTTTTTTCCTGCAGGAGGGTTTATAATTTTCCACTGAATGTCCATTCATGCGTTTTCTTCTTGTCTCTATTCATAGCACCAGATCCTGACTAGCATGCACAACCTCAAAAGAAAAGAAAGACTAAATACAAACTGTGTAAAACGAAATAAAATAAAGCAACATAAAGAGGCACAGGTGAAGACCGGTTACCTCGGGGTGGTGCCACAGCGTTAACGTGTGCCACGGTGCTCATGGAACTCACCTTGTATGCGACGCTGTTGGATGAGTCCACGATGATAAACAGGGGCTTCCTCGTGAAAGGATAGAGGTCTCCGGGGTGGAGGCTGGGAAGACAATAACAATGAATAACTGAGTAACTACACCGACAAGTCTGAGAACTTTTCTTCTTCAGTTTCGGCTGCTCATGTCTCCTTTTCATCATAGCGCTGAGGGAAAAACAAAGATTAATAAAGCAAAAGACAAAAAATGTCTGTATTAAGTTTTATTTGGAAAAAAATTCAGAGATAATTATTACACAAGAATATCCAAGCTAAAGAGAAGTCTATATATTTAAAGATGGACTAAATACATATGAAAATCTCAGAAGTCAGCATTTACGTACTTGTTTAGTATTTAAAAGCCCCTTTAAAAACATGTTTTGAAAACAAAGACGTAATAACACAACCAGATTTGTATTTCAATGAGTCTTTCAAAATCTATACCTATTTTAAAGATTTTTTAGTATTTCAAGCTACATCTTAATACTGCAGACAATAACAGAGGCTTCCCTTTTACTCTTCTTTTTCGTTTTTTTCAATCTGACCCAAGGATATTTTTTTCACTGACTTTTTAGAGAGTGGAAGAGAGAGTGGAAGAAAGAGGGAGACAGAGAAACATTGATGTGAGAGAGACACATCTATCAGTTGCCTCCCGCACCAACTGGGGCCAGGGATTGAGCCTGCAACTGAGGTACATGCCCTTGGCTGGAATCAAACCCACGACCCTTCAGTCTGTGGGCCAACACACTAACCACTGAGCCAAACTGGCTGGGCCCTTTTACTGTTCTTTAAGTTTCCTCTGGACATTTCATCAGAGCCAGCTGAGTGCTTCTTAAACAGAAGACCTACTGGATCCAACAGCTAAAAGCCCAGTAACGGGTATTTGGAAGCCACTGCCTAAGATCACAATTTTGGTGCGTACTCTTTCCAGCTTAATGGACAATGTGTGTGTATAAATAAATATTGATGTAAATGTAAATATAAATATATAAAATAATGTGTCAATGAGCAATATCATCAAACCTCAATATACTTCAAATACAAGTTTTCCTAATATAAATCATTTACAACTAAGGTCAACAACAGCACCAACGTATGGCTTGGTGGACTGTTAGCTAGAATAACTGGAAACATCTCCCTCTCTGCCCCATTCATCAGTATGAACAGTTAACATTTTTATGTAAGGTGCTATTAGAAATGCAGTTTCAAACAAGTCCAGGTCCTGTATAACCAGATTTCTGTCTCTCAGCTAGAGAAATTCTAGAGCCAATAATGGCTCAACCAGTGAATGTTGTACTTAGAGCAACTTTAATGGTATATTCTACTTGAAATCATAACTGAGTTCATTTGTGCTATACCAAATCAACAGATGTTATCAATTGACGTTATACATATTATGTCCTGATATATTATTTATGTACATATATATCTACAATCTCCTCCAACTTAAATGTAATTTTGTTCACTGACATAGCTCCAGTAATTGAACACTGCCTGACATATAACTGATACTCAAATGAAAATTTAAAAAAAATATATATATATATGTGTGTGTATATATATACATATATATATATATATATATATATATATATATATATATACATATATCAGCCCAAAACTCTAATTTCCTAGGACAGTCAGAGACGGAAGTACTGCTAGAATCCAGATAAGTGTTATCAATAGTAGCCTAAAAGAGTATTTCTATTACTAGAAAAAGTCCCCACTTCACTGAATTTTTTTTTTAAGCGCTTTATTTTTTAATTTTTTAATATATCTTTATTGATTTCAGAGAGAGGAAGAGAGAGAGAGAGAGAGAGTTGAAACATCAATGATGAGAGAGTCATTGATCGAGCCCACAACCTGGGAATGTGCCCCGACCGGGAATCGAACCACGATCTCTTGGATCCTAGGTTGATGCTCAACCACTGAGCCATGCCCAGCTCGGCTTCACTTAATATTTCATAAGAGAGAACTACAATTTTTATAATATGAAGAGACAGTAGAATACATACCAGTGCATTTCTTTGTGGGACTGATTTCTTTTATGGATGGCATCTCCATTTATAATATCCCGGTTACTATTAGTAAGTACCCCTCCAAAATCATAAGGACCTATGAAAACAAAGGGAAGAATCCTAGACTTCAATCAGAGAGCAACACTGTCGATTTTCAAAGGTACTGTGTGAATCTCTCACTGATACAAGTGGAAGATAATTACAAACCATTTTAATTATTTTAAAATTTAACATTTTCATTTAATGCAGCATTTAAATGATTTCAGCATGTTGTCTATTTCAACATTTTAAAAAATCATTTAATTATTCATCAGTTCTTCAGACAGAATATAATGAGAAACAAAACAAGAATTGGCTGCCTCCCATTATTCTGGGTAATAAAAGGGATAGAGATCTGGATGCTCAAAACAACTTTTACATTTCAAGCAAAATTAAAATCTCAGGCCTAACTAAGTAAGACATTGCAGACTCAAGCCCTAATTATTTCTAAATATAATTTTAAGTAAGCCATTAATTGTTAAAATTTAGAAAAATATTTGGAATAAAACTTGAAAGTTCTTGCTGAAAAAAATCTTCATTCTTAGGAAAATAACTGCCAAATTTCAGTGTGTGAAAAAAATCCATTATTTTATCACTATTATACTAACCACTGTAGTTCCAGTTTTGAAGTTGGCCTTTGCCCACTGGTCATATCAGTTAGTTAAACTCCTGCCTAAATAGAACAGCAACTGAGGGGTGTTAGGAATAATCTATCTTAAACGATTACTCAGTTAGTACCTATTGTAGTACCACTGTACTTTGAAAAAAGTAAAACAACAGGTCAATATATTATGCAGGAGCCCCGACATCTGATTTGACAATAGAGAAGATATGGAAATTATTATTTATAAATAAAATTACTAACTTTATTACAAACAACTTAAGTAGTTTATAACTTCACACCACTTTTAGTGCTGCTATGTTTTATCTCTTAAAAAATCACTGCAATGAAAAGGCTTTGAGGTTTGTTTTGTTTTCATTTTAACACATTAAGAGGATCTGCAGGTCATGCAAGGAAGATGGCAGGAACATGCACTGTATAAAGGAATGCAAATTTCAACAAACAGATGAGGAGGAAAATGTTAAGGATGTTAAGAAATAAATATTTTTTTGTCCAGACAGAGATTTAAATGCCTCATTTACATACCAGTTACTCACCTATTCTGACCAATTTCATATATTCTGGACTCATTTACTCTGGACAGTTTTAAGTTTTTATTCCGAAACAGCATCCCAATATTCTACAGGTTGAATCCATAAAAACCCAATAAAGGAAGGACAGAAAACAAAATCATGGACAAGGACTTGAACCTTCACAGTTACAAAAGTGTACTGATTTCTACAAAGACTTTCAGCCACATGAAGCCGCCGACCAGATTCCCTAAAGCACTAAAGGCTCAGAAAAATTCAATGATGTGAAGTAGATCATTAGGCTTGGTCGTTTCATATATATGTATGCTTTTGGCAAACCTGATAGCGAAGCACACAGTATGTGAATTTGCTGATGATGTATGGCCTTCAATGTATAATATCTCAGCATATAAAATAGAATGGGGTATCTATAAGATTGCTGATTCAACAAATAAACAAGGTTTCCAATTTGGAGGCCTCTCTGGAAAGCTGGAGGTGGTCTGTGGGCTACAGGCTGCCGTCTTGTAGAAATAAAGAGAGTTCAAGCCCGGCTCACACAGGAGCATTCCTTTATTGTACCTTCACTATCAGAACGACCTGCTGGGAAAACACCGGTGGCCGAAAGGTAAATCAGAAGCACACTGTTGGCAGGCAGCTCCTGCAATTTAAAAAAATCACATACACAAAACAACAAACAGGGAAAACAAGAGTTTCATTTAAAGCTCACTACATTTCAAAGGTGTGGGGAAAACAGGAACCTAATCTGACACATTACTATCTTCTCCAAGAGCCGAGCCACTCTTGCTGGTTCCAACTTCTGTCTACACGGCCAAGATTCATTATTAATCTATAATCTACAATATCTGCCAAAAGTTTTGAAGACATTACCTGCTTCAAAACCCCCATAATTTAGAGAATGTTCTCTGGAAAACTGGAAATGGAGAAGTAAAGATCCTGACTAAAGGTCTAAGAGACAAACTCCCGTCCACAGCTTTCTTATTAGACTTTGCAGGAATTCCCTACTCCTCACAGCTCTTTCAATGACCAAACTATTTCCCTGAGTCACCTGAATATATAACAGACCTATGCAACCTACTCCGGTTTTTTAAGTTCTGCACTGACTCTTATGCCTAAAGTAGTTTAGTAATAAAAACCTAGAGGAAGGAAAATAATTAAGCAATAGCCTCATTAATTACTGGCAACGAACATTCAGAGAATCATAAGCAATTTCCATTCTGAAAATTGCTATGATTAGGATATTCTAAAGGCAGTTTCAATTTCATATTTTACTTAAATTCTTGACTCAAATATTCAAAGAGAAGAGTGACTCTCACATTCCACTTAGGGCACACTTTCCCCATATAGTAAAAAATGCTGGATCATATATACCTTAAAAGATGCTGCTAAGAAAGTGTACAGTTGGCTGAAGGTGGGTTTGTAGAGCAGGTACTTGTGGGGGTTTTCTCGCCTTGTAGGCTTGTCAGCTGATTCCTGTATTTACACACACAAAACAATACCCATACAAGCTGTATTTGATAGATGAATTATGAATGCCTACTTTTGCTATCCTCTTCATCAAATATCTTTTTGCTACTATTATTATGCTTATCTATATTTCCTGTATTTTATCGAGAGCTCTTTTAAAAAATTTATTGATTTCAGACAAACAGAGAGAGAGAGAAACACTGACCTCTTGCTCCACCTATCCACGCACTCACTGGTTGACTCTTGCATGTGCTCTAACCAGGGATCGATCGAACCTGAAACCCTGGCATATCGGGACAATGCTCCAACCAACTGAGCCACCCGGCCAGGGCAAAAGAGCTCTTTATTCACGCTCATAGCACTTGTTGGATAATAGCATTCCATGGGAAAGCAGAAGCAGTAAGAGTGTTACCAAAATTGCAAAAGTAGGGAGAGGATACCTGCATTCCTGGCTTATTCATCTGGGAAGCTAAATTCATTGGCTCCCTTTCCAAGGCTTGTAACATCCGGAACATGTCAACAGTTAGTTCACTGAACTTAACCTGCAAGGAAAACAAACCTGACCATTAATGCAGAATGCAGGCCTTGAAGTCTTTAATCATATCATTAATCTTGACATTCATGTGTACTTAATGACACTGTGTAATTTCTTTTCCAGGATTTTTATTATAAAAAATTTCAAAAGACAGAAGATTAAAAGAATTAAATCGCTGACACCCATATGCTTACCATCTAGATCCTACATTAACATTGTTCAACATTTGCTTTCCCACATATCTCTCCATCTAGCCATACCCCTACCAATCCATCAATTTCCTCAGGTATGTTTAGAAACAAATAAAAGTAGTCATGTAAGCAGAGACCTATATTAGGTCCTATAAAACATGCTAACTTTTGGCATAACAGCGAGGCTGCAACATGGCTGTGGCCTGTATTTTATAACCTCTTCATTACATTTTGGTACTTTATGTTAAAGACTTCATCTTTTTCTATTCTGAATAGTATTTCTATAGAACTTCAGGCAGGCAACATTGTATTTAAATTAAAATGTTTTAATTTAGAAGTTTGTGAATTAATGGTTACAAAAGACAAAGCTGGAAAAGCACTAGACAAAGTTAACAATAACAAAAATGACAGGTATAAGGAAAGATTCAAAATTAAAATGTATAAATAATGCACACAGAAAAATGTATTCACTGGCTATTCCAATATCCCATAATTTCCAGTAAATTACATTATTAGTACATTAAATAATCATGCGACTATTCTGTCATGGAAAAGTATTTGAAGCCCGCCAGGCGTGGCTCAGCAGTGGAGCATCAACCTGTGATCCAGGAGATCGGGGTTTGATTTCCAGTCAGGGCACATGCCCAGGTTATGGGCTGGATCCCCAGTAGGGGGAGTGCAGGAGGTAGCCGATCAATGACTCTCATCATTGATATTTCTCTCTCTCTCTCCCCCTTTCCCTTCCTCTCTCTCTGAAATCAATAAAGACATATTTTTTTTTAAAAACTGAAATTTGCTTTGACATATATACTTAAAAATAACCCCTTCTCCCTTTTGCCTGATTATAAAATATGAAGATTTAGAAAGCTGCAAAGAAGAAAATAAAAATCACCTATAATTCTGCTATTCAGAAGTAAACCTTTTATGATATTGGTACATTTCTTCTTGGTCTTTTTCTTGTGCATATATGTATACAGGCATTTTTTTTTTTTTTTTTAAAGTCTTTATTTATTTCAGAGAGAGGAAGGGAGAAGGAAAGAGACAGAAACATCAATGATTTTTGCCTGGCTGCTTCCTGCACTCCCCCTGCTGGGGGTCGAGCCCGCAATCTGGGCATGTTCCCTGACCGGGAATCGAACCATGATCTCCTGGATCATAGGTCAATGCTCAACCGCTGAGGCATGCTCGCTGGGCTGTATATAGGCATTTTAACACATGAAATAGTCCTGTTTACATAGCTCCATAACAAGTTTCTTTTCATTTACCATATCGTGAGTATCTTCCTTTGTGATTAAAAGTTCTTTGCAAACCATTTAAATGTCTATAATATAGTCCATATACGTACATAGCATAATTTATTTAACCATTTCCTCACAGATGGATTTTAGGATATTTACAAGGAAATAATAATCCTGTAATAATCAAAAGTACTACTTTTCAAAGTTGATTTTCAGCATAATTCCTTCATAATTCTTTACCTGGTTATTACAATTACCAATAATGAGTGCATCAGCCAGAGACAGCTGTCCCACAATCATGCCCTGCTCCAGCAATGGGGCTCCTGTTTCAGAAAGGCGGTTAGATGTGATGACAATGGTATTATCGTCATTCAATACCATTACGGGGTCCGCCTGGAGAGAGAAGCCGAGGCAAAATGTCAGTCTAGTAAGTTGTTCCCTCTTGATATAGACACACAGTGAAAATGTATACCACCCAGGAATTTACTTATCCATAACCAGGACAACCTTTCTTGTCAAAAACTGACCTCAATGAAAGCTGCAACTTCCTGAAGCACCAGGTTCCACTCCACTTGATCTTCAGTATTAAAGCGGTGAGTGTAATCTTCAATTTCATCTGACAGTTCCTGATTTTAACATATCACAAAGAAAATGAGTATAGGAAAAAAATTAAAAGACAGCTATACATACCATATTCCTGAGAGAAACTGACAAAGTTAAGATGCTCGATTATCATCAATATACAGTCCCAATTAAAACCGGAAAGAAAGAATGAAAGCTGTATGAATTTAATTCAAAATAAAAAATTCCTGAATGACACACATCAGTAAGATCTTCATAGAGATCCAGAGAGACCCATACCTACTCAGTGCCACACCAGCAATGACTTCATTAACAGAAAACAAAGGAAAACCCCACATTTTTAACATTAAAAAAAATTAATATAGCCTAGCTGATTTTCTTTGGATTTATAGCATACTGGTTTTATCTGGAAACACTTAATAGTGACTGGGAGTGGAGGAAGACAGAGGAGGGCTCGTCAAAACTTGCACATTATAGCTGAATACCAAACACCAAGCAGCATGCCGCTGAAGCCACTACCTGAATGAAGAGAGTGCAGCCAGATGTCATGTGCAATTATTACAGAGGGTGTGTCCCGAGTGCCATTAGCGCTTAACTGCCTGAGCTAACGAGGGACAGAGTGACACAGAGATACTAAAAGCCAAAACTCATTCCCAATCCCTTTGTAAAACATTATGTACTTTTTCTTGACTTAACATTTCAATTATTTTCTCTTAAACTAAGTATTTTAACTTTTGTTTGCATGTCCCAATCATCCACTGATGGGACAAATGCAAAACATGTTTAAAATGTAAAAAATGTAAAAAACATTTATGGGACAAAAGCAAGGAATTAAGATAATGATCTCTGGTCAGTATGTGTTTGAAATATGAAGAGAGTTGAAAAAAATCTTTTTTATTACCTTTGGCAGAAGTTAGCATGCTTTACTTTAATGATTTAGATATATCAAAAATTATTTTAACCTTCAGTTTTAAAAAACAAAATCATCCATCTACAACAAGATATTTAATTATTATTTTAAAGTACACTTACCTTCACCAGATCCTTCACAACATCCATCTTGTTGAGAAGAAGACAAACGACTATAAATCTTGCATAGTATCGCAGCTTCTTAACTACCAACTCAGGTCTGTGGTAGATAAATGGAAAATTAGTCATTAGATTAAAAAAGAAAATATGCTTTTTAATTTTCCCCCCAACTTTCCTATAGCTTTTAAACTCTTTTGAGCCTATTCTGCAGTTATAAACATTTCTGCATATAACCTGTAGACGTAACGCATTACCTACTGATTCATTATGTAATTCATTCATTCAACAAATATCTACTGACAACTTAGATGCAGCAGGCCCTAGGCTAAGCGCTAGAAGTAGAGTGAAAACACCAACCAAGAACTCCAGACACAGACCCTTCTTCACAGATCTTACAGACGAAAAAGTGTTTAAAATACAGAGGAGACATAAATACTTAACACACAGTGGAATAAATATAGTGAGAGGAGAAACAGAAGGATGCTATTTGAGTCCACAGGACTGGATCTCGGGTGAGAGTGATGAGTTCAAGTTAAGGCTGTATACAAGGAACAGGGGAAAAGAGGCAGCAGAAAAACCTGAAGTGAAAAGCCTTCCAGGAAGAACATTCTTCATTGTGAAATCTTATTTTTCTGATCCTAATATCACCAAGCCAGTTTTCTTGGGCTTAGTGCTTACATGCCGTATCTTCCTCTGTCCCTCTGCTTTCAAGGACCTGTGTTCTTTTATTGTAACGCATCTCTTGAGGACAGCGCATGGTTGGGTCTTGCGTTTTCCTCTGCTGTGATCATCTCTGCCTCCTGTGCTCAGGTCCTCTGGCTTTGCGTCTCTACCTTGCTCTGTTTGTTTTCGATTTGCCCGTTCCGTGCTCTCTGGTAGGACCATTCAGATTGTCCGCCAATTCTAATTTAGTGTCTTTAAGGCAAGAGGTTTTGTCATCCTGGTTCCAAATAACCCCACCTCTGTTCATCTGCCCTGCTCTAGGAGGCAGCACAGGAAAACAGTTGATATGTGGTGTTCGTTATTAGGATAGAAAATTATTTCCACGATTCAAGCTGCTGGGTCTCAAGCCAATGGGCCTAAGGCCAATTTTCCTTTTGGCAAATTAGAAAAGTGAATTATACAAGATACTTTACTATTGCTTAAAATAGTTCTTTGCTAATAAAATATTACATAGCCCTTTTGTATGTTCTTAGAGATAAAATTTATCTCACCAAGAACTCAAATTGTACAACATAAATGTAAAAGGGTTGGAGGAAATATATCTTTAGTGAATATATGTAAAGTAAAGCAAATCAGGAAAATCTGAAAGAAAAGTACTTGATGGAACTTTTGAAGAAGAACAGAGTAAGGCAATGACACAGAGACTTCAGCATCCACATACCTCACTTGCATCAAACTAACTCCCTAGGCGTGTCTGAACAAGATTTGCAAGGGCATGAATGGGATTTACAAGAGTGGGGCTTTCCAAAAAATGGTGCTGTAGAGCTGGAAAGTGCATGCTAGCCCAGCACAAAGTGTGCTCTAGAAAATCATGTCAAAATTATGTTTTCTTCTAGCCCTAGGAGAATATAATCTTTACACTATACAACTGTGAGTTCTGTTGCCAGTGATAGAGGGAACATTCACATCTTCTAGGTCTGAAGGTCCTCTTCCAACAATCCTTAGAATGCTAGCAATAAAGATTCTCCAGCAGATCCCTGGTTTCTTCCACAATTCCATACTCACCTGGAATTAATAACATCACTACCTGAACCCCAAAGATGTCTGTAACCCCCATGAGAAGGTAAGTGTCCGAAAGGAAAATTTGAGCACACCTGTAAACCTCCTTCTCTTCTTTCCCACCCGAGCACCAACCACACTGCCAGAGGTGTAAGTGCTCAACAGATAACTGTTGGGAATTAATGATTCCATCAGGTTTCCCCCACCCCCAACAACTGCACGGCAGTATTGGGTTTATAAAATAAAATTCAAACAGCTTAGTGCCTTTTCTTTAGTCCTACATGACAGCTGTCAAAAGGCTTTTGAATGTATATGAATTAAGAGTACACAAGCTAAAAAGAACCAAGCTTATCAGCTAAGCCTCATTCTGGAGTTGTTTCTTTTCAATGAAACTTTGTATGACTCTAATCTCTCATAAAGAAGTAATCCTCCCCTCCTTTGTGCTCTGACTCTATGCTGGTGTTGTGACATGTTACAACGTCTGTAATATTTATTGCTATTAGGTAACATATCTCTGCATGCTTAAGAAGGCCTGGTACATGGCAGGCACTCCACAGAACCCATTAAAAGAATAAAAGTTATCAACAAATGTGTGCACTGCTGCATAATTTGCACGCAAACTAAAAATGTTAAGTGTTTTACCTTCCTGTCTCTAAAGACATAATGGGTGCATACCTGTCCTCTTTATTGACTTGAGAATAATACGACCTCTGTCTGATTGCAGAATAGAAGGAGAAGGCCTCGTTCAGATAGCTGGTCTCAGATGTGCGTAAGCTACGAGAGAAAAAAAAATCTTTCAATTTGACAGTCTCAAATCCTCCACCATGGCTAATACTTGGGCCATCATTCCTCTGTTCCTCTGCACGAGGAACGGGAATGCCTGTCCTAAATTTGAATCAGCAAAGCAATATTCCTATCACCCCTAAAATGTGTAAAAATAATAATGATAGTTTTAAAAAATACCTCCCCACTGCTCCCAAGCCTTTTTGGATGGCAACCCCAAGTGCACAGCATTCTCCTTCTTCAAAGGGAGACTCTCCAAACAGCATTTCCACCCAGGTAAATCTTTCCACCCAGGACCAGACCTTTCATGACCTTCCCCAAATCCATACACAGTCACTTGTCCTTTGACTCATTTCTTTCGTTTTTTTCTCACAGGACTCAGAAATGGACTAACCCACAGTAATCTTCAGAGGATGCTGATTAACTAGGCTCTTTGTTTAGATAACTGGGTGAAAGAGGTGAAGGGGTTAAGTGCAGATTGGTAGTTACAGAACAGTCAAGTGGATGTAAAGTACAGCATAGAGAACATAATCAATAATATGTATGGTGCCAGCTGGATACTGAAAATATCAGGGGGAAGAGTTTGTAAAGTATACAATTGTTTAGTCACTATGATGTACACCTAAAATAACACTGAAGGTAAACTATAATTTAAAAAATTAAAAATATATTTTTTAAAAATTCTAGTTTTACAGATGACTTCTTAAGGAAATATGCTACCCAAGAGAGTGATTTTAATGGTGGGAATTTGGGGTGGCAGGCCAAAAGACAGGAAGAGGAAGGGATTTTCTGGTCTATTAAGTTACAAATGGCCCAAGCCTTTTTATGGTATACCTGCTATTACTTCATGATAATGAGGTTTAGAGTCCTAAAAGGAGTTCTCTCTCGCCTTGACTCATGGGTGGGACTACATATAGGAGTAGGTTTACAGATATAAATACATGAAACACAGATTTTATTGTCTTATTATTAATTATTGTACTATTTTCAGTAAGTACAACTGCAGACCTACTTCTGCCAGCCCCTGTAGATGCTACTGCTCTAAGGATATAATCAGAAGTATCCGTATCTACTTCATGTAATCCCTTTTAGACATATCCTACAAGTATGAGTTTTAAAATACCCCTCTGAAAATCACTCATTCAAACATACAAGTTACATGTCTCTGCATAGTATCAAGATTAAAGTGAAGCCATTAAGAACTATAAATTCACTCATCTAAAACCAAGATCTTACTCCTTTAAATTATAAGTGAGTCTGACCAAATGAACTGTTTGGAAGGTGAGCCTTAGAAGCAAATGATGTTACTTTGATTATGGAAGGTCATTTCATAACGTGGGCTTCATCAATATGATCTGAGTTACTAAGGTTTTCATTTGTAACTCTTTAGTTTTCCCTCCAACCAAGTAAGTATACCATGCATGCTTCTGCAAGCTGTGTTTATATCAGGACAACGCTTGGTTTTTCAATATGCAGTTCACTTACTAATAATGGTAGTATAGCTGCCCAATCTTAGAAGCAATTTCCCCTATTTGCCACCGCTTCAAGCCATACCGATTATCCAAGACTTGTCTGTTTTACATAGGAAATAAGAAAATAGAAATAAGAGACTATAAATTTCAAAAATAATCAAATCTGTAAACTTAATAGCATAAAATGACACCCAATCCAGAATACAATTGGAAATTCATGAATTGAAATTCATGAATTTTTCATGAGATTTCAACATATTCATTCAATTAAATTCAAAAAGCATTTATTAAATGTCTATTTAAAGTAAGTTGAAATATAAAAAGAAACTTCTCTGAGCTATGTTCATGAAAATTAGAAGCAACGCCCCCAAATTGTTTTGGCGAATAAACAATAGCAATTTTAGAATAAAACCATGAATCAGCCAAGCTATGCTAGAATTAATCTGAACTATTTTGGATGTAATATTGTCTTTAAAAATCAGATAAGAACATTACATTTTAAAACCTTAAATAAATAGGAAAAAAATCAATTTGTTTTCATGTGAGTCATGAAGATGAAATATATTATGATGTATCCAGAAATAAAAAGTAGTGAGGTAGTAAACGTCAAAACTGTGATTAATAGAAAATGGAGCCTCACTCCCCTTTAACTATAAAATTCCTTTACCGATGCTGCTGCTGGAACTTCCAGAGTTTGGTGTAAACATCAAAAGTTCTTCCAAAATAGGACTGCCACTGCTTCTGCCCATATTGCGGCAAATCTCTGTAAGAACAAATACACATTTTAAATCTCTTGTGCTATGTGGAAACTAAAGTTTTGTGATGGTAAAAACTGGGTAGATTTAAAGCATTTGCAGTCAGGCTTTCTTTAAAAAAAAAAAGTTACAGTTTTTGGACAATAACCCCATAACAAGGGTCCAGGGCACGTTCTTTCCTATTCCTCCCCCTACCTCTGACAGCTCATTCTTAGTCTCCCACGAGGTTTCTAGCACGCTCTTCCCTCTCCTGGGTGATCTTTTTCGTACTCACTTATACAATAACTTCCGAATGTTTATCTTCAGCTAAGAATTCAGCACCTTGAAAAGCAATGCTTTAGGGACTCTAGAAATGAATACAACACAGATGGTCTTATTCTCAACTATTCTACTCTCTCCCTATAGGTGAAACTATAGCTCCCTGTCCTTGGGCCTGATGGCTATCGTGCCTCCCTTGGGGACAAATACTTTCCTACCATGCAGACACTGGGGCTGCCATAAAACTTGCTTTGCCCAAGTGAAATATAATTGTAAATTATCTACAGCACATCTGAAAAGAATATTTAAGAGGTATTACATGAGTCAGCACTTCCACTTTTCCCTCTGACCTAAGACCAAGGCATGGCTGCTCCTCTGCCTGGAACACAGAGTAAGACACATTTCATACACCTTGTAGCTAACACAGGAGCTAGAAATAAGCCTCTATTGTAGTAAGGCACTGCAATTTTGGAGTGGTTATGGCAGCCTTATTTAGTAAAAGCCAGCAGAGAAACTGGTACCAGGAGTGGGTTACTACCATACCAAACATATCACACATGTGAGGCAGGTGTTGGGACTAAGGGCAAGTAACTGTTACTGAGGACTGGAAAAATGACGACACACATAACACACTGGCAGAACTGCATTTGCCAGCAATAACTCGAAAAGCAGATAACGTGACTAATGAACTTGTGGATTTATAGGAAAAAGCCAAGAGATGGTATGCTACTAGCCCTGGATGCTATTAGTTGTACTTAACAAAATACATGAAAGTGAAAGAGAAAGAAGAAATCATCAGAAAGCGCGCTAAATAAAATACTTAAGAGAGCAAAGGCTATTATAAGCTAATAAAACTGTATCGCAGGTCTCATCCAGACCTGCGCCTGTGGACAGCTAGTGGACAGCGTCCCTCAAATACCCAGCAGCTGCCTGGCTGGCAGCTAGAGTGCTAGTCACGTGCTTCTCCTTAGCCAACAGGATCGCTTGGGTCTGTTCACCTGAGACTGGTTGCAAGGATCCCAAGAACAGCAAAAGAGAGGGCAGCTTGAATGTGCATTCATCTTTTCAAGTCTGCATAAAATCTCTATCATCCATTGGCCAAAGCAAATCTCATGGCCAAGCCCAGAGTCAGTGTGAAAGGGGACTACTCGTAGGCATGGACATAGGGAAAGCAATGACTTTCACAATCTATCGCAGAGAATTTATGCTTCTCTTTTTTAATTTTGAAAATAATATATTTCTTAGAAAACAAAGGTACTATACAGGTGCTTCTCTCCTCGATTCTAGTCCCCAGAAATAGCCCCCATTAAGAATGTATTTTCTATGTACATTTAAGTATATATGTGTTTTTCTATTATTTTAAATAAGTGAGATCAAACTATATATGTTTTATAACATGCCTTTTTAATTTACTAATATGTCATGTTTCTTTAATGACTACAGATTTACTATGTATAATGTAGCATATAATGAACCACTTTAACCAATCCCACCTGATGGACATTTATATTGCTTCTAGCTTTTCCCTGTTATAAAGATGGTGCAATAAACATCTTCATACTTAATGAACTTGAATAGTTATGTGATATGACTAAAAGGTAAATTTCTATAAGTGGAATTGATAAGTGAATGGAAGGCTCACATTTTCTGTACCAGATATTAAGAAAGTAAGTAAAAAAGCAAAAGGTTTTCCTACCCAGAATTTTTAGGCACACATCAGAATGAGCTAGTAATTGCATTTTTTAAAAATGTTTATTTAGAACTTCTGCCCATTTTTTTAAAAAATATATTTTTATTGATTTCAGAGAAAGGAAAGGAGAGGGAGAGAGACAGAAACATCAATGAGGAGAGAGTCATCGATGAGCTGCCTCCTGGATACCCCCACAGGGGACCAAGCCCGCAACCCAGGCATGTGCCCTGACCGGGAATCGAACCCCGATCGCCTGGATCCTAGGTCAATGCTCAACCGCTGAGCCACACCCGGCCAGGCAGTAATTGCATTTTTAAATCCATTTCCATTACCCTTATGATAAGCAGAAACGCATTTCAGATTATAGAAATAGACTATAGGTACTAGTTTCCACATTTATTCCAAGTTTTCGACTTTTTTCTTAATGTCTCCATGGCTCTCTAGTGAGAGGCTGCATTAGAAAGAGCTAATCAGGTATTAAAAATGGAAGTTGCTGCTAGAATCTTCGACTCTTCACAGGTAGCTGCTGCCAGGAAGGTTGTACTACTACATAAAAGCATCAGGCAGCCACATCACCTTCTCAAGACCTGGCAATTCTTGGGTGCTTCTTTAAAGACGCCATGTAAAGTCTTTAGGCAAATTTTCAAGTACGCATTTGCCTGCAAGTTCCTTTAAGTTTCCAAAACTGACAAACTGAATGCATCTCAGTAAGACATCTTATTAAGGGAGAAAACAGAACCAGAACGCGGTGTTTTATTTCATGACTACATAACTTGAGAGTGTCAGTGAAAGGGCTTTAGGGGCAGAGAATTTTGAATGAGAGCGAAAAGCACATAGAAGGTGATTTGGAAGGCGAGAGCCAGGTTCCTGACAGTAAGTCATAACATACTAATGTTTTCTGGTTTATTGGCTAAATTCTATACTATTTTCCTGAAAAGAATTTAGAACGCCCACCACTCCAGTCTAAAGACACACTATAAAGATAGCAATTTCTTTCTAAAATAGGGTTTAAAATTTTTTTTACTTCCTAAGAGGGTAAGTCATATGATCACCCTTTTTCTAATGAGACATATCATAGAAGCTAATATAGAAAACCACTACAATATGATTAAGAGTCTAAAATTAAGGTATTTTATAAAGTTTTAGACAAATTCCTCTACTATGCAGAGCTAGACTCTGGTTTTAAACTCTGAATATATCATTTGGCCATTGTTCCTGTCAGTAGAGATGGGAAATTAATCGCCCATAGAATTAAATGAAATGGGGCTCTGTGAATTATCCTGTAGGCTAAATGACCTTCTACTTCACATCTTGCCAAGGCACCTGTGTCATAAATTGGCTGCTCTTACTCTTTTCCCAAGGCTTCAGAGGAAATTTAAAGTACGATATCGATCTCCCTTTTTTAAAACCCTCAACTCTCTCAACTAAAGCTGGGAGACTACGGCAGGAAGAAATGTAGTGCAAATGATTAAACTTGGCTCTGAGAGATGTTCCAAATGTAATGTTGAGATGTCAAAACTTAGAAACTTTCTTCCAAGTTTCTACAATTCAACCCTCTTGACTAAATTGAACTATGCAGCACCTCTGAATATGAGTGCATCTGAAGATAGAGCCTGGAAAGAGATAATTAAGTTAAAATGGGGCCTTTAGGGTGGGCCCTAATACAACTTGACTCGTGTTGTTATAAGGATGAGATTAGGACACAGAGAAGGACATTGGGGGTGCTCATGCAAAGAGGGACTGCCACATGAGGACACAGTAAGAAAATGGCCATCTACAAGCCAAGAAGAGAGGCCTCAGAAGGAACCAACCCTGCTGACACCTTGATCTTGAACTTCTAGCCTCCAGAACTGTGAGACAATACATTTCTGTTGTTTAAGCCACTCAGTTTGTGGTACTTTATGACAGCCAAGTGATAAGGTACCCCTCAAATCCCAAAGTACAGGTGGGTGGGGACAAATCAGCAACAGCTGAGACCTGCAGGCTATCGGCATCTGTACAGGAGGAGACAGGAGAAACAGATGGGATATCCGATGGATCTGTGAAGAAGAGAACCCCAATATAGCTGACATGAATTCACTGGGCAGCTCACTGGACCATTCTGAGGACAGAAGCTAAAACTGTGGGAGGGACTTCTCCTGAGCCAACAGCCACATGTAGCTACGGAGTAACTGAAACATGGCTAATCTGAACTGAAATGTGTGCAAGTATAAAACATTCGGTGTACTTCGAAGACTTGGTATGAAAAAAAAACGTAAAAGATCTCAATAATTTTTCTATATTGATTACATGTTCAAATGAAATATTTTGGATATAATGGATCAAATAAACATATTATTAAAATTAATTTCACTTTTTTCTTTTTACATTTTTAAAATCTGGCTGCTAGAAAATTTTAAATCCCATTTGCGGCTCACATTAAGTTTTTATTTTATTTTATTTTTTAAAATATATCTTTATTGATTTCAGAGAGAGGAAAGGAGATGGAAAAAGAGATATAGAAACATCAATGATGAGAGAGTCATTGATTGGCTGCAGCCCGCAACCCAGGCATGTGCTCTGACTGGGAATCGAACCCCTATCGATCGCCTGGATCCTAGGTCGATGCTCAACCGCTGAGCCACGTCCAGCCTGGCAACACATTAAATTTTTATTAGTCAATGCTTCTTCTCTAGAAGTGACTGCCACTCTGGTGGCGGTCGGCCTCGAATTCCAGGCCTATACTTTTGAGTGGGAAGCCACATAAAATAATAGCATACAGTGTGAGCTGTACAATAGTTTAAGGCACTATCTCTGAGTAACATATACCTTACTATTACCAGTGTGTGAAACTTGCCTCTAGGAAAGTATTAATGTTTTGAAGGAGAAGGGAGAGGGAAGAGAGGAAAGAGAGAGGAAGGCAAGGGAGACGATGGAGTAAGCTGGTAATCTCAGTTATCCTTTCCTATTTAAGAGCCAGAACTTCCTAAACATAGGCTTTTAAAGGAAGCACTGTAGAAGATTTCTTCTTTAATATGAAATATTGGGAGCACATTTAATAAAAATAATTTCTGCAATGATTTTTATTTAAGACTATTACACTTCACGTTGGTATATGTCCCTGTAAATATATACATTCGTGGGCTCCAGCGCTTATTTTGGCTTTGTGTTATTTGCTCCTATGGAGTCAAGTAATTAGTGACTCGGAGGCCTGAGCTGTTTCAAAACACCAAAGTCATGGATATCAGTGGCAGACACAGCTGTGTATCTCGAATGTGCCTCAAGACGCTGCCTTATATAATCCCACCCACTACTCCATGCTGCTTCGTCACCATGGCAACCAGAACCCTGCAAGCACTTGGGCTTTGATCATTTTTCTGACAGTATTCAAAGCTATTTCTAACACTTCATTACTACTGTACCCACATGCAAGAGCTATTATAAGCACGCCGCCATTCACTCTATCCATTTCTCACTTTCTGGACTATGTTTCCTTATAGAGTAAGCGGAAAGAAGTTTATTTATCATGCACATGTTATCAGCAGGTATTTTCAGTCAAGAAGAATACTCCATGAAGACAGTCACAGCTGGGAAATTGAAAAGGCTGACAACTTGGATGAATGGCTTAATGAAAGGTGAAAATGCACACCTTCGGTAGCAAAAAGGGAATTTATTATATCCAAATAAGACAGTACATAGAAAATCTCAGGCCTTTCATGCACTGAAATGCACTTTCTCACTGTTCATAAACAGTTAAAAAGTCCAGGTGAGAGGGGATTGCCAAGGTGCTGTATCTTCTGTTTTTTATCCAATTGCAAGCCACATGGATGCATTGAGTCAGTAAAAAAATGCACTTATATGTACTTTTCTGCAAGTACATTACACTGCAATAAGAAGTTTAATCACCAGTTTGTGGACTCAAGAAAGAGAGAAAACACAAAGGAAAACTAGCCAAAAGATAAGGGCAAACAATGAAAGGGATGCTGGGAAAGAAGGGCCAATGCCAAAAGCTGACACTAATCCAGCTGGATTCCCACCCCACCCATTTCCCCAAGTTCAAATGCTGGTCCAGAACCACTGCCAGTGTATTTCTGGTTCTCTATAAGCACTTCGACCTTGTTTTCTATTCAGAGCAACACAAATATAAAATGGGGGGCAGGGGAGATTAAAAAAACACACACACCCTTTTTTAAATTATTCCCAAAGAAATCTTCTCTATTGCAAAAGAAATGTGCAAAAACTAATCAACACTTGAAAGTAGAAAGGTGTTTAATCAATATGCTCAAAGAGCTTTGTACCAGGAACTGGAGAGTGATGTGGAACGTGCCACACGCCCCTCCAATCCCCCACCGTGGGGAACTCTGTCACAGACCTACAGAGCTGATAAACAGAGGCCTTTCCAATTGCTCTCCAATCAAGGACTAATACTGAACAAAACACTTTCACTTATATAAGCAAGCACAGAAAACACCCAACTCACACTCACCAGGCACTGAGATAATCACCCACAAAAGGAAGAAACCAAGTGGGGACTAAGAACAAACAGTCTGCACCACGTATATTTAATACAGAATTTTTGATAAAAGGTCATTTAAAACATATTGTTTTTACATTTAATACATATCACAGGCAACATTTCATTTATATCTTCAGCAAAATCTTTTCCAATAGTTCTACATTATACCATGTGTACATATTAAATGAATTTTCTTTAAAAGTAAAATGGAAAAGCAGAGTCCAAGGACTAATCTCTCAGTAAACTATAGATCTGCGGTACCACTGGCCACAACCTTCTCAGACAAAAACCCAAAAGCAATCAGAGGATACATATACTTACTCACCACAGACACTGATTTTTGTAGAAATAATAAAGCTTGTTTAAACTGAAGAAGGCCCTTCACATAATACCTAGTTTTTTAAAAAGCAGTATTGCAAAAAACAGATATAAAATGACAAGATGAAACACATCCGGCATATGGTGGACAAATTTGAGACATGAAAAGATGTTCAACATCATTAGTCATGAGGGAAATGCAAATCAAAACTAGTATGTGGGATATAAAACTGAAACTCATTGACAAAGACAGACAACAGTATGGTGGTGGGGTAGTAAAGGGTAAAGGGGGAGAAATACATGGTGATGAAAGATGATCCTGACTTTGGGTGGTGGGCAGACAATGTAATATACAGATCATATATCATATAAATGTACACTTGAAACCTATAGGACCCTATTAACCAATGTCACCCCCCAAAATTTAATAAAATTTAACAAAACTGCCCAGCGGGGCGTGGCTCAGGGGTTGAGCACTGACCCAGGAGCCAGGCGATCGGGGTTCGATTACCAGTCAGGGTGCACGCCCAGGTTTCGGGCTCGATCCCCAGTGGGGGGCGTGCAGGAGGCAGCCGATCAATGATGTTCTCATCATTGATGTTTCTCTCTCTCTCTCTTCCTCTCTTTTCCTCTCTCTGAAATCAATAAAAAGATATAAAATAAAAATTTAACAAAACCCACAATGAGATACCAGTTCACACCTACTTGGATGGTTATCATAAAAAAGACAATAACAAGTGTTAGTGAAGATAAGAAAGTGGAGCCCTCGTACACTGCTGGTGATGTAGCCTCTGGAAACAGTCTGCAAGTTCTTCATAATGTGAAATAGAGAGTACCACATAACTCAGCAATTTTACCCCTCCGTATATACTCAAGAGAACTAAAAACATATGTCCACACAAAACTTGTACTCAGATGTTCAAAGCAGTATTATTCGTAGCAGACAAAAAGGGCAAAGTAACTCAAACACCCATCAACTGACTCCTGGGTAAACAAAATGTGGTAAATCTGTAATGGAGTATTAATCTGTGATAAGAAGACTGGCACACTGATACATGCTACTACACAGATGAAGCTCAGAAAATATTTTATTTTGTGAAAGAAGCCAATTAAAAAAGGTCACACATTGTATGATTCTACTTATATGAATGTCCAGAACATGCAAACCCACAGAAACAGCAAGTTGATTAGGGAGTTGGGAACTGAGGGGAATGGAGAGTCCCTGCTAATGGGTATGGGTTTCTTTTAGGGTAATTAACGTTCTAAAATTAGATTATGGTGACAGTTGCACAATTCTAAGAATACTAAACCACATACTTACAAACTTTGAATGGGTGAAAAAAAATTTATATTTTAATCCTCACCCAAGGATATTTTTTCTGTTGCTTTTCAGAGAGAGTGGAAGAGAGAGAGACAGAAACTTCGATGTGAAAGAGGCACATCGACTGGTTGCCTCCCGCACACATCCCGACCAGGAACAGGGGTCGAGCCTGCAACCGAGGTACGTGCCCTTGGCCGGAATCGAATCCCAGGCCCTTCAGTCTGCAGGTCGACGCTAGACGCTGAGCCAAACCAGCTAGGGCAGGGTGCATTTTTATTGTATGAAATGCAGCTCCATGAATTGGAGGGAGAGGAGAAGGAAAGGTAGGGCTAAATCATTTGACTAGAGCACAACAGAACAAAATCATTTACCCACCACACACAAGAACACATCATCAAAGACACATCTGGACAAAAGGGCATGTAGCTTCTGCTGCCAGTCTGTTCAGGGCCAGCACAGCTAAAGAAAAAATAACGCTGCCTAGAGCATTCTGTCATTACTTTAGTTAACAGATATTTTATCCAAAGAAAAAGAAAGAAAGAATAAAAAAAACAAGTGTACAAAGACTGCAACGGGAGAGAGGCCCCACGTTCACCTGCAGTAAGCATTCGTGGGCCCCTTACGAACCTAACTGGTAGAATGTAGGCTAACATACATAAATCCATTGAACCAGACGCTCCTCAACATGAGTAAAACACTGTTATCTTTCCTACTGTTTCTTCTTCTGAGAATGAAGCAGCTGTGGCAAAGAAAAAAAGCACAATCACTAGTACGGATATTTATGCAACATCCTCTCCGTAACTTTCAGAAAGTTACCACACATCAGCCATGGGGAAAAAGACACAGAACTCGAAAGAAATTTAAGATAGCAGCGGTCCACTAACCTTAACCCATTGAACAGTTGCTTAGATTTATCCAGAAGATAGCAAAAATCGGTAACTGTTTTCCTCTCTCCCTGTGGGATGTCATCTTCGGCACCTCCAGAGGACATGATTTCTTGAAGAGCAAATTCAGTCCTGTAAGAAAACATGTGTCCATTAACCAAGCAGGTGAAAATAAAAAGAGAAACAGACCTTAGTCATACCATCTGATAGCACTTTTTCCCCAAGATAGAGAATCTTCTGATTATCAGTAAACCATCAAACAATTTACATGTGAGATGGTATGGGAGAACAGAAAATCTAATATTGTTGGTGGGAGTGAAAACTGGTACGTCCACATTGGGAAGCAATTTTTAGAATATTCTTTCATCCAATATTATTATTTGAATGACTATTATGTTCCAGGCACTCCTTTACATGGTTAAGAATGAAAAAATATTGATTTTTTTAAAATCTATTTACCTATTTGTTCCATTCTATAAATCCATCCTGGAAAATAATCCTACAAATGGAGAACACTTTATCCATAAAGATAGTTGTTTCAGTATCATATTTAAAAACTGATAACCTAAAAGAACCAAAAAAGGGAAATGGTTAAGTACTTCTAGGACCCTAACAACTGCTCTCTACCTTATTACTAACTTACAAGTATATTTAGATGATAAGGCAATAATATGGGGATACCTCAGTATAAAAGAGATATAAAAACCACACCGACACACAGAGGTATATTTTAAAGCTCTATTTTATTGAATCCAAACTCTTTTCATATGCAAGCAAACATGTTAATCAGCCATTTTAAACAGCAAGTTGCTGGACAGTATAGTCTGAACCCATGCTAAACAAACAAACAAAATTTCATTTGTGTTTACACATGGACAGAAATCCCTGGGACAACACAGGGAAATTTGGTCCCAATGTAGGGTGAACAAATAGGCAGAGCAGACAAGGGTCAGACACCAGAGATGGGAGTTAGGGTATGGTGCAGCTGTTTTGGTAAATATTTTTCTCTCCAGCACTGTCTTGATCAGGCGATTGCTGTTGGGATGCTGGGAAGCTGTCAGCAAGCCGAGAACTGTCAAGGGACTACAGGGTAACACACAGATGGGTGGCACTGGTGGTGTCTGCATGTCCACATGCTCCCTCTTCCCACTGCCTTTCCACATTCTGTGGACTAGGGTTTTTTTTTATCCTCACTGGAGGATATGTTTTTCTTGATTTTTAGAGGGGGG